AAAAATTATTATTATCTTATAATTTTAGAGTTTACTCAGCCTTTCTTTCTTAAAAATATTATACAAATATTATACAAAATATATAAAATTATTACACAATATTAAAAATATTATGCACAATTTCCAAATTATAAAAATTATTAAAAACATTCTCAATTTTTCTCAATTATTAACATTATTTACATAATATCTAAATTGTTTGATTGTTAGATTTATCACTATCAAAACCGTAATTTTAGGAAAAATTAATGTTTCACAATAATATTATTATAAAATAAACAAATTAATTGTTTAAACATAATTACAGAATCATTATAAATATTATCTTAAGCTTAACTAGATTATTTTGAACATAATACACTTAATTTACATTTGCTGAGATTATATCATATTTTTCTGAGGGTCTTTTTTATGTATTTATAGTAAATAATTCATTAGAATTACTATCTTAAGATCTTGTAGAAAATGCAAATATAAAATATACTAATAAAAAAATTTGATTATCTCGTGTTATTTTAACAAATCAATATAATGAAGAAGTAATATTAATTTTAAATGATATTTCAAAATAAAATGAGCTTTAATAATTAATTTCAGAAGATGAATCAAACCAAAAGTAAATTTATTCATATATAATTTAAGATTTTAGAATCCTTTTCACATGAATTAAGAACTCCATTCAAGGAGCTATTAATTATTTATCTATTTTATAAGACTCTGCTGATTCTGAAATAATTAAAAATAAATATACAGTTCCAGCATTAAATTTAAGCTAAAATCTAATCATATTTAATAAGTGATCTAATTGATTTTACATCTTCAAATACAAAAAATTTAGAATACTTGATTAAGGAATTCTCAATGAGATATTAATTAATGAAATTACTTCACTATTTACTGTGTAATTAACAGAGAAAAATCTTGAATTTAGAGTAGATCCATAGGATTGTTGTACAACTACAGTAACAAGTGATTATACTAAGTTAATGTAAATATTGGTGAATTCATTACAAAACTCTATTAAATTTTTAACTGAACAATTTATTTTTTTGAAAATTTAATCACATACGAAAGAAATATTAAAATTTACAGTTAGTTATGTGGAATAAGGTCTTTCATGCATGAATATAACATAGATTTAATCATATTTAAATAATTTGGAGAATCAAAAAGAGATTTAATTATATAACACATGGTAGGGATTAGGTTTATTGATTTCAGCTATGTTAGTTTCTAAAGAAGGACCATTTGATAAAAGTAAAATAAAGTTTGAATCGATGGAATTAATATGAGTTCAAAGGTATCACTTTTTATTTGAAATTTATAAGCAACAAATGTAATAGTATTAAATAATATTTTATTAGATAAAATACTTAAAGATTATAAATTTCTGTTCATTTAACATCTTCACTTAATAATTTAAATGGTACAATTATTTAGACAACAGATTAACTAATGAAAAATATACCAAAATAATAATAAACTAAACTATTTTGATAAAAATCAAATGACGAATCTATTTTTAGTGAAAGTGTTGTCTATGATTCATTAGAATAAAACTTTGGTTTATTATATCCTGTTTAGCCATCTTTAATTATAGATATAATTTGTAGTTAACCCTAAAAGTAAATGAGAGAAGACAATTAAGTAAGAATGAAAATTCATCATAATAATCTAATAATTCTAAAATACTTATCATTTAATTTATTAAATAGGCAGAATAAGAAGATAAGAATTTTTATAAATAAATTAAAGAAAAAAAAAATGTTAATATTGTCTAAATTTGGATTTGAAGTAATTTTGGTAAAAAATATTATTTTTTATATTAGGATTTTAATGGACAATAAGCATGCGTTGATATTTAGAATATTAAAAATGTAGTCACCGGTGTAATTAGTAACTTTAGTCTTAATAGATTGTTAGATGCCTATTCTAAAGGGATGCTAAGCTACCTAGAATTCATATTGTTGGTTTAACTGTTTTTACAAATTCTAATGATATTGAAAATTGTTTAAAAGCAGGAATGAGCGATATGTTACACAAACCACTTAATCTAAAAGAGTTTAAAGAAATTCTTACTTTAATTTAATAAAACCAAAACCATTTTTTTTAATAATACTTTATGTTATGAAAAAAAATTAATGATTTTACTGTTAAATTTAATTATTATACACTTTGCTAAATATTAAATAAATTGTCCTTACTTTTAATTGATTAATATTATTTTTAATAATAATAATTTAATAAATCATTACAATCACCCATCATGAACAAGAAAGCATCGCCAAAAGATATATTTCTTTAGACTAATCTTTCCCTATTAGCAATACAAATATTGTTAAATATCAGTCTAATTTAAGAATTGACAGAAATAATGACTGATCTAATAGTTATTATTATCAAAATAATTGCTGACATTTTCATATTCTGTCTTATGTATGTTTTAAAGAATAAAATTACTCCAAATATAATTTTGAATATCATGTTAGTGGATAGGATACTTGAAATAGTTGTTATTTCAATAATATAATTACCTAATTGCATATTCTTATCAATATAGATGTGTTATTCATTAGAGATTAAAATAGATTAATTCATATCTAAAATTGCTTTACTTGTTAATATTCTTGGAAAATTATCTCTAATATTATCAGTCAGTTTGATTTAAATTAATGCAATAAGTTTTATTTGTTCATTTTTTTTAATAGGAATGGATATTTTTAAATATTGTTAATCGTAGGACTAAATATAAAATTAAACCCAATATTTACAATCATAATTAAATGAATTATAATCACCCTTTTATTATTAAAAAACAAGTGATAATATTTGGAGATAAAGAATCTAAGATATGAATGTATAAGTACTTATTTTAGATTATTCTAATTTGTGTGTTAAATACATTAATTAATGCTTTATAAAATTGTTCAAATGTGAAATGGAAGAAGAATTATAAAAAATTATTTTATCCTAATTAAGTTTTTAAATACCATAATAGTGTACAGAAGTCTTTAAAATTGCATCACTTTAGATGAAAAAACTAAGAGATAAATAAAGAGATCCATCTTGTAAAGAATTAAAAAATCTGTAATCTACAAAGTAGGTTATTACAATATAAACTAAGACTTTAGAATAAATTATAAATGAATATAAAAAAGGATTTTATGATTCATTAATATAAGCTTCAAGTAATAAAGCACTTGATATATCTTGTACTCTTAAATTATAGAATTGTAATCCTATTTCATTGAGTGGATAAATTATTAGTGATAATTAAGAGATAACTATTTTTTTAAATGATATTTCAAAATAGACAGAATTATCATAATAAAAAATTAAAGATGATTTCAAATCAAAAATAATAGAGTCATTTTCACATGAAATGAAAACACCTTTAAATAGTGCTAAAAATTTGATAGAATCAGCTATTTCCGAATCAAAAATTGATAATTTTATAAAGATCTAATATTTACAACCAGCATATAACTCTTTGAAATTGCAATCATATATCATTAATGATATCATTGATTTTTCAAATTATTATGCTAATTAATTATTTCTTTCAACAAAGGAAATTACATTCAAAGAATTAATCAATGAGATTAGTGGTTTATTTTAACAGTAGTTTTAAATGAAGAATATGGGTTTATAAATAGTAATGAAAAAAAATAATTTTTCAACTTTTAATACTGATTATAATCGTTTATTATAAATCATAGTAAATTTATTGGCAAATTCTTTAAAATTTTCATATAGTGGAAATGTTATTGTAAAATTTAAATCAGTTGAATAAAATACTTTAAAAATATCTATTAAAGATTAAGGGATTGGTATGGAATAAGAGAATTTAGAGAGAATTTAGAGAACTTTATGCCAATTTTAGGAAACATCTGATTTTGTATTTAATAAAGGGTGGCATGGATTTGGACTATTAGTATCATCTATTTTATTAACAAAATTATGTGCTAATCCAAAAAAATAGTTATTATAAATTAAAAGTGAAGGAAAGAATTTAGGAACAAAAGTAACAATTTTAGTGGATGATTAAAATAAAGGACAATCACCACTTATGTTAAGTAGAAAATTACTTAGAATTGGAACAAAAATGAATTCTTCGAACAAAATATAAATTGGAACTGTAATTGTTACATCAATTAGGAGAATGTCTAATTATAAGAATAATGATATGATTACTCCTTAATTTAAGACAAAAGAATTTTTTACTGATATGATATCATTAGATAAATCAAGTGAATTTTTGACTTTAAATAGTAAAGTGAAACAATTATAATCCTCAAACCCTAAATTAATTAGTAATTTAAATGAATCACATAGTTCAGATTCAAGTCAAGATATTAATTTTAATCATTTAAGATAATCACGTGATTCTCCATCAATATAATAATAATTTAAGGAGATAAAATAACGTAGAAGTCTTTAATCATAGGTATATAGTATAAAATAATTAAAATTTTTGGAAGATTAAGAGAGTTAATAAAATTTATTGAATTTTGTATAAAAAAAGAAATGTTAATGTAGAAAAATACTCTCAGTAGATGATGAAGTTTTTAATTAACATTCATTATGTATGTTATTATAGAAATTAGATTTTGAAGTTTTAGTGGTTAGTATTTATTTTATTTATTATAGGCTTTTAATGGTTAATAAGCAATAGATATATTGAATCAATTAAAAAAATGTTGTGATAATTGTTAATTGCTTGATGTAATTTTGATGGATTATTAAATGCCAATATTAAATGGAATTGAAACAACAAAATTAATTTCAGAAATGATAAAAATTTAGAAGATACCTTCTATTAAGATTATTGGTTTAACAGCATTTACAAGTGAATCAGATATTATAAATTGTTTAGATGCAGGGATGACTTATGTTTTATCTAAACCATTAAACTTGAAAGAATTTAAAGATATATTGTTAAATTTATGAAATTATTTTTTTATATTGGGGATAATCACTTCAAATTTATTGTACATCCAGCTGGTGTTAACTTTTTTTTTAATTTATTAGCTTTTTCTTTTGGTATTTGTTTATCTAAATTGGCTGGGTGATTTCTCAATTAAATCTTTAGCTTCTTTCAATCCTAAATTGAGTAATTATCTATATTAATTTATATTAAATACCTAACTTCTTTAAATTTTCTTAATTTTAATGCTGGATCAATAGCATTTAATTCTATACCATAATTTTTTTTTCCTTATTTTTTTTAATATTTAAATACTTATACTTCAGCTTTAGGCGCAGCATCTGCTTTCCTTTCTTCATAATTAGGAGCATCATTTCAAGTAGTAGCAACACTGCTTAATTACCGACTAAGAAATCAGGCTAATAAAATTAAATTCTTTTTCTTTTGGAGGCCCAGTTGGTACTTCATTTTATTCGATTACAGGCCAATTAGAATCAATATCAAATAGATCCATTCCTTAAGCCTTATAATGATTTTTATTCAATAAACTCAGGAAACACTAAAATTCAAAGAGATCCAATTCACAACAAGTATCTGCTACAGTTATTACTCTTAGTTTTTGGTCTTATGATAATTTTTATTCTAAATAAATTTATTTTCTTAATATTAATTGTTAAATTACTATTATGTTTTTTACTTTGCAATGGCTGACCATCCAGCTTATTTTTTTGTAATATCCTCTAATGATGAGCAAAATCTAAATTGTCTGAACAATCTTATACTTATTATTAACATGATTTAATTTTAATTCATATGTGAAATAATCTCCCATATTTAATTTAATAATTATTTAAATGATGTAATAAAATACAAATAATAATGAAATAATAATATAATTTAACTTTTAACAATTAATAAATTAATTAGAAATAAAATATATATACATAATAGTTTGTATCTTATACCCGAAATCAACAGTTTAAGTTGGTGTTGTAATATTAGAATTTGCATTTGTTTGATTATTATTATCATTATTATTATCATTATTATTATCATTATTATTAATTATATCTAAATTATAATTATTTTTATTAAGCGCAATAACATTTTCCAATATTAATAACTTATGAAGAATTTCTGAAATATACTTACTACTTTTTTAAAGCAATCAGAATAGAAATGATGAGAAATTATATATATTGTGATTAAGAACAAAAATAGGTATATAATAAAGCAAGGCTTTAATTAAATATATCGATTGTTAATTATGTAATTTTTCAAAATTTAAATTTATATTTATTCTATATTCTTAAAGATTCATATTAACCAAAAGTTTGTTTGATTTAAAATTTGTTAATTTCACCTCATTTACAATCAAATCCAAATCTTCAAAAAATTTTTGCTCAAACTTAACATTAATAAATAAGATATTTTTGGGTCAGGATATAAAGCTTAATATAAAAGTAATAGAAATTTAATATATTTTTAAAAAAGTTATGAATTGCACCTATCATTTACAAAATCCAATNTTAAACAAATTTTTGATCTATAATTTAATTTAATTTTAAACTGATATTACTAATAGTAAAATCAAGTTTTAATAATCCTAATCTCAATTTATTCAACTCTCATATTTATGACGCTCATAATATTAATTTTAGACAGAATTAAATTTAATGCCATTTAAGTTGCGCAATCTAAACTATGTCTTATGGTGAAATAATTATGATGATTAGTAAATACATATTTTAAGCCCAATCCAAAAATATAATCAGATGAATAATTAATATTTAGAAAAAAATAAAAAACAATAAAATCGTAAAACAATTGATGTCTGAATCAAATTTTGGAATTTAATGATTCGCAATAATAATTGTTAATGATAATTTAGTTAGTTTAACAATATAAAAGTTTACTTTTATTAATAATTTCAAATAAAGATTCTAAAAAGTCACTTTTTTCCCTATGTCATTCAAATCACATTATTGGTGAATAGGTTTACAAAAGTTCTTTCAACTAACTAGATTAATATTCAAAAAAAGCTAATTCTCTTCTCTTAAAAAACCTCAATTACCAAATTATCTTAAGATAAGATTTAAAAATTACACTTAATGTTGACATCCCTAAAAGCCATCTCGAATAATTGTCTAACACATCAATTTATCGAAAATTGTAATTGGAAAATTTGATCGTAAGTTTGAAATGAACTTAACTGATCTCTTTGAAAAAAGTAAATCCAGAAATACCCAATAAGATTTAACATTTTCCAATATTAATAACTTATGAAGAATTTCTGAAATATACTTACTACTTTTTTAAAGCAATCAGAATAGAAATGATGAGAAATTATATATATTGTGATTAAGAACAAAAATAGGTATATAATAAAGCAAGGCTTTAATTAAATATATCGATTGTTAATTATGTAATTTTTCAAAATTTAAATTTATATTTATTCTATATTCTTAAAGATTCATATTAACCAAAAGTTTGTTTGATTTAAAATTTGTTAATTTCACCTCATTTACAATCAAATCCAAATCTTCAAAAAATTTTTGCTCAAACTTAACATTAATAAATAAGATATTTTTGGGTCAGGATATAAAGCTTAATATAAAAGTAATAGAAATTTAATATATTTTTAAAAAAGTTATGAATTGCACCTATCATTTACAAAATCCAATAACCATGATATGTATAGCTCCTCACAAATATTAATATTAAAGGAAACTTTGTGTTGAATGCCTTTATGAACATAACGTGAGTGCCAAACAAACTGTTGTGAAAAAGAAATTTCAAGAAATGATTATCGATAAATTTAAAGAATCCAAGTTTGATGACACATCTGAGTTAACCAAGTAGAGAATGAATTTCAAATCAGTGCTCTTTCAAACAGAGAATATGCTGAAGAAAATTTGGGAAGAATTATCTGAATCAATCAAATAAGTTTATGATTCAATTGAACAAGAATACTTTAATATTATCAACCAAGGTACAAATCTAGCAGAATCTTCATATCATATGCTGACTTAGAGAAATTAGTCTAAATTATTATTGGAACCATATTAAACGATTTAAATGATGAGAGGAATTCATATATGATGAAATTAGAACAGACCAAGAATAGCTGGGCCTAAGAGTTTTAAATGCTTATCTAAAAGTTCAAGAAAGAATTACAGGAGATTCAGCCATTAATAATTAAGTAAGAGTTTAAATCTTAGCCTCTGATTCAATCTGAAAATATTTTATAAGATTAGCTTAATCCCAATTAGAAATGGTAATTCTCTTAATAACTGACATTCTCAACAACTTATAAGCATAGTAGTTATTCAGTAACTTAGAAAGGAAAAGTTATTGAGAATAATTCAGCAGATGGTTTTTTTTATTGTGGTATGTGTGATTAAATGATTCCTAAGACTGGTGTGATCTAATTTGCTGTTAAAATTATTTAACTTTTTTATATTATGATTGGAATTGGTTTTAGGGATATTGTGAAGAATTACAAATATGAGAGTTGTTTTAATGTTGGAGGAGGGTATATTGATGATATTAATAGTTCAAAAAAGAACATATAATATAGCAAATGGTGGTTAATGTTATAATCATGATTAACCAGATAAAAATAGTAAATATATATCATTTAAATTTTCAACTAATGATATCCTAATAGTTGAAGTGGATATTGAAAAGAAGTACGTGAAATGGACAAAGTAATCCATAAATGAATCATTCGTATCAATATCTATTTATTATTAAACTGTCACTATTGATACATCCAAAGATTTGTATCCATGAGTACATTTTTTAGTAAATCTAAAGTAGAGATATTAAATCAAGTGATCAAATGAAAATATTATGAAAAGTGATTTTAGTTTATCATAATTATTAATAATGGCTAAACAACTAATTAAATAGGCGATTTTTGGTTACATATTTTTCTACAAAATTATTTTGTTGTAATGAGACATAATTATGTCAAATTTATTTTATTTATATTTTATGAACACTAAGCTTAAATCTGTTAAAAGTCTCCCTCTATTAATTTAAAATAGTTGGAAAATGTATAAAAAGCATTAGATTGTTTTATCACAGTTTCAAAAAACTCAAAGAAATGAAAAAAATGAGATTCTTCTTAGGGTATTAAGATAATATATTAGTTTAAGCACTAATCTATAATATTGAAAAGTCTTAATCATATGGTATTTTAAAATGTTTCGAAGAAATTTTAATCAAGAAAGAGAATATTTAGAAATTGATTGAGCAATACACTGTAAATGGATTGTATAAGAAAGCAACACCAATTAATATTAATAAATGAAACTAAAGGATAAGTTATAATCTAATTAAGAGAAATTTTATGGCAAGCAGTCACTATTCGAGTTACTTCTATATTATCATCTATTTAAGCAAGTGGAAGAAGAATTATTTTATTGCAAACTTCATACGATCCTGTAACTGGAGAAACTGTTTAAATTGAAGGTATCAAAGCTGAAGAAAAAATACTTGTTTAAATTGATTACTTAATTTTACAAAAGTCTTGCAAATAATTAGTTAATCTAAAAAGATTTAATAAGCAAGAATGTGAATCTTAACTTTTAAAATATCAATTAAATTTAATAGTTTATTAAAATTAATAGAATTAGTAATCGCATAACATCAAACTCTGATGTCTTTAAATATAAGTTAAATTTATAAAAGAAAGATTGTGAAAATCAAAGAATTTCAGTATATAAACAAAATAACTAGAATTCCTATCTCTGAAAACTTTTCATTAATTTAATATTAAGGAAGCAATACATTTAAGATATGTTTTATTTTATTTTATTGATAATTTATGGGCGAGAAAAACAATTTCAAAAAGGATTGTCTACTAATTGGGCGGAAATTCGATAACTTCCTAAAATGATGTTGAAAAGTATGGAGAAAAAAATATAATCCTTTTTAAACTCTTAAAGTTTGAATTTAGTTAAGGTAATAATAATTGATTCCTTTAAAAGTTTAGAGTATAGATTAATAAGAGCTAAAGCTTTATTAATTATATAATTCATCAGAATTTAATTTATAGAGGATAATTGACTAAAAATTAAATTTAGACAAATGTAACTGTAATGTCTTATCTCCAAAAGGTGATTTTCTTCTAATAGTGGAGGTTTACGATTAAGCTAATTCTATAACTTTATGGAATGTCGAGAGAATAAAAGATCTAAGATCAAATAAAATATACAAAGAACCAATTAAAATAAAAGTAAGTTTGAAAATAAAGTGTACATGTTTAAAAAATAAAAATATCATGGAATAATCCAAATAGGAAATTAAAAATCATGCCTTAGCAGAAGATTAAAACAAAAAAATTCTTATGACTGAGGAAATATTGATTCAAAAATAAGGGCTTGTGGTTGAGATTAATTATCTTTTAGATTCAGGACAGCAAGAGTGGATTATTATTAATTAATTACTAATGGTATGTAGTAAGTGTTAAGGAAGATGCTTCTAAAATTTATTAGATTCCTCCATCTGATGCTTGAAAAAAATTGATATGCAAAATTGACATTTAAAATTATTTTATTAAATGCAGAATGGTCTTAATATGAAATTTAGCAACTCAAGATCTTATTTTCTTTTAATTATTTTAAATAAATAGGCAATTAAATAGTTAAAGTATAAACATAAAATTGAAACTAAACCAAGAAGAAATATTAAAAAAAATATATTTCCTTCTATAACAAATAATTTAAATATTACAATAACCCAGTCTTGAAGTTAATATGTTTTAATTTTCAAGGTCACTTATTGAAAAAATTCTTTACCTTTTTTACAAAAAGTATTAAATAACTAAAAATTTTATAAAGAAAATGAAAAGAAATATCTAATGTCAAAAAAAAGTTCAACAGTTATTTTAAATTGCAATAAAGTAATAAGAATTCACTTTATCAAATATTTTGAGTTTATTCATTTGTGTGAAGATATTTATTATTATTCTTGTATTCCACAAACTTTGAATTGCTCGTGTAAAGAATTGCATAAAAAATGGGTAGGTTTATTGGCTATATTGAATTAGTGAGTATTAAAAAACTCAATTCTAATTTCTAAAAGGTTTTTTTTCTTTATTTATAATTAATTTCTAATATAGTTACAAATTTAAATTATATTTTCAATAGAGAAAAGATAAAAAAAATATATAAACCATACAATTCTACAGTTTCTTATAAAAAAACATTAGAAAGATTATGATTATGATTTTTTTTAAATAAAAAATACTCATTTTAGCTCAATACTATTAATGATAATTCAAGTCTTTTTCTATAAATATAGAAATTATATACATTTGTTGATGAATAACTTTTAAGTTAGGTTAAAGGGTTGACTATAATTATTCTTGTATTTTTTGATTAGCTTAGATGTTTTTATAAAGCTGATTTAAGTCTCTAAATGTTAGCTTTCACTCTTTGACGAGTTTCAGCTTTTGTCTTAAAAAATCTTTGGCATTATTTATTCATTTTTAGTGATTTTGGCAAAGATGATAAAATCTTGGATTTAATAATATCTAAACTGTTTTCCATTTCTATTGAGTAAGCATTAAATATGTAATATAACATCCTAACAAGCATAAATATATTGATAATAATCAGAGCAGAAAATAAAATAGGGGATATATTTTATACTTAAGATTTTTGATCTACATTTAAACATATTCCTAGTATCATTGAAACTCCACAAACTATCGAAGATTGATAATCTAATAAGTTCAATCTTAAAGTTCTAAATGGGGAATATTAAAGGTTTAAAGACCAATAACATAAAAGTAAGAAAAATATAAAAGAGCCTTTTATTATAATAAAATCTTCATAAAATACAAGAAAGAGAATAAGCAATTCTTTGGTGATAATCTTAATAATTTCCCAAAAATAAGCTTAAAGTTTATATTCATAATAAAGATATCCAAATAAACTTTTGCCTCTTTTGTGTTAAAGTTTATCTTTGTTTCTAATTAAACAAACAAGCAATATAAAAGGTATTACGACTCCAAATAAGGACAAAAATGGAATACAAAATAATAAAACCCATTTTCTATGTAGAAGAGTATCAAATCGATAAGCAACATACGCTTAAATCCATGGAACATTGGCTATGGTTCGAGTTGAAACCATAGATATAAATGAACCCATTAAATTTGGCTAAAAATAAATATACATGTAGATTAGAGCAGTCATGATTATAGGTGCTCTGTGTTTAATGTACTTAGTAAATATTAAGATCATGTATATGATAGCCAAAATAGAAAAATAGATGCATGGAAGCAAGAGCTACCAGATCAATCTACTATAATGAATTTCAAGAGAAGTCATTTAAACTATTTATGTTATGATAATTTACTTAATTGACAATCCAAAGAGTACGAAACTGTTTATAATGGATTCCCGACTCCATTTAAAAAATAAAAGAAATTAACTGGTAAACTTAATTTAAATGAAGTTAAAGAACTGATTATTTATAAATAGTTTGTTAAGAGTTTTATTAGATAAGGAGATTCCAAAAATGAATTATTTAAAGTTATCGCTCCTTTTACACTAAGTATGATGGTAAATAAAGTCCTTTAATAATAAAAAAGTTTAATACCAAATACTAAATCCAATGATTTAAGCTATGTTGTATTTAATATCATCACATGACCCACAAGAATAGGATTAAGCATTTGAAAAATGGCCATCTCCTCTTATATTTTCTACATCACATAATTCACACATAGCTCCAAAATGGCCTAAGTAGCAAGAATTATCTCCATATTACCATCCTCCTAAACAATTCTTCTACAAATTATAACATTCCTCAATATTATTATTATCAAAATAAGGTCTCCAAAATCCCTAAAATTACATTTATTGAATTATGTACCTATTTTAAATTCAACTAAAATGATGTGACACTTTAGGTAGTCTACTCATCTCTTATGCTGCATTTATTAGAATCATTTGTAATTGAGTATTAATCTGAAAGATAATCACACTCAAAACAAGCTTTGCCATTCATCGATCTTATTTGTCCAACTCTGCATTTTAATGTATTTATATTGATTATAAGTTGATAGTTGTTATGAAATTTATTTATTATCTAATTAGTTTCATCGTATTAAGGAATTTTAATGCTATCACAAGTAATTATTAGTTGTAAAATATACTTTCCAGTATTCTCACTATCAAAGTTTATAACCATACTATCAAAATTATAATCCATTGTTGTTGTATTAAAAGGAACAGAATTTTAAGATATAGAAGCATTATTTAGTATTTATTCAGAAGTGTGTAAAGCCAAATTGTAAAGTTGGGTTTAAATCTAACATTCAGTATTTATTAAATTCTTAATTTACTAAAATTAATTGTCTAATGCCACTATTCTAAATGTTAAATTTGCTTCTTCCAATATCTCTAATAATGGGTCATATTTTTTATACAAATAAATAGAACTGCCACTAGGTAGAAATATTGTATTTTATTTATTAGCAGAATAGCCTATTTATTCTTTTAAGAAGTTTACGCTTTCTTAGACTTTAAAAGTTGGTAAAATGGTTTAGTAATTATCTAAGGTTAATGATAAATGCACTGGAGCTTGAAAAATATTCTAACCAAACTATTAAGCTCTATTATCCTATAAAATCGTTTAAGATTTATTTATATCTTGAGATATGCTATCATCAAAATATATAGCCCCTGCTACTTTAGCCTAATTAAAGAATATTTAGCAATTAATTAGAAATAATTTATATTCCTTTCCAATGAAATAAATTGTTCCTCCTGCATTTTTCGCTGTATTATTAAAAAATATGGATTGCTTTAATTTTATATTCGAAAAATTAGAAAATAAACAAGTCCCAAAATTAGCAACATTTCCTAAGCATTCATAATTTATAATCTTAATATCATGCTTGAGTTATTGCAAAATCTTTTCGTAATTTTAAGTCAATAACCTATTTTCATTTTAAGGATATATTTAATTTTCATCAAAAATTTTAGAATTTATATATATACATCCCACCTTACCACATTCATTGTGATTAATAATTATTTATTTTAATTATATTTAAAAAATTTCTGATCCAAACTTTTACAATTAAATAAATATAAGTCCGCTTAATGAATCAAGGTAATTGTTATTGATTAATCTAATTTCTGATATTTATATTAAATCTGAATCCTTATTCAAGACTATCTTTATTATACCTTAATTATTATCTTATGCTTAGGAAAGAAGAGATTAGTACATGCATTTTATTTGTTCACTATTATCTTCATATTTATCACTTATAACTTCATTTATTAGTTTTTAGTTGTTCACTTAGCATTACATATTTTTTTTTGTCATCTTTATTACTGTATAAAAGAGTTGGCATTATTTCAAAGGTTCATCAAATTATGATATATTTTCAATGAAAATTCCATTTATTTAAATAGTTGTATTTTGATCTAAAAAATATCATAAATTGTTACTATTATTTGGTCTCATCTGAATTAATTGTTAGTTTAAACCAGATCCATTCAAAATTTTGATTTAACTTAAAATGGCATCCCCTTAATCTAAGCTTAGGAGCACGGCTTCTCCAAATAAGTTCATAATCGTAATGTCAGAAACAAATATTATTGCATTTTACAAATAAATAGAAACCCTGTCATTGAAGTTAGCCAAAAGGATTTTATTATCAACTGTTTTTTTAATGTAATTTTAAAAAGCTAATTTCTAATTTCTAATCTAAAGTTTATTTATTAGGATATGATTAAATAACGTATTATTTAAAAAAGAACCATAAATAATACTTCCTTTAAATGCAATACCAGAAGATACTGTTAAATTTTAGAGTGTTAAATTCAAATTATCATATTCTGACTGAATATATACAACACTTCCATAATCTTTTGTAGTGACATTCTCTGCTTTGATGTTTTAAATTAAAACTTAGCATTCACTCGAAGGGATTTCAATATAAATACAAGCACCATTTTCTTCATTAAATTTAAAGAAACTTGTCAAATTTATAAATTAAATTTATTCAAGTTTTATAAATTTAGCTTTTAAATATAATCCAACTCCATTTTTCCCTTCGGAATTTTAGATCAATGTATTTGAACCAGAGATAGTATCAGCTGATAAATAGGCATTTCCTACAAAATTTTAAAGTTAAAATATTGATTTCAAATTACTTAATAATACGTCTTAATCACTAGAAAATCCTAGAAATAAATTGCTTAAAAGAGAACTTAAATTGTAAATTGAATTATTAACAAATTCTATTCCATTGAATTTAATTTAATTGGCTATTATATTGATTATACTATCTGGTGTATTTGTGGCAAAATTATTATAAAATTAACTATTAAACAAATTTATGTATCCAGAAGGACAATTTATTGATAGACATACAGCAGATGGTATTTACAAATTTTATTTGTAATTATGCAATTAATTTCTTAACATCTTTGAAGAAAAAATAGTGATTTAAATCTTTTAGTTACTTAAAATTGATATAAGTGAAGCACTAGCATCATTATTTGAAGTAATTATCAAATTATTCTAAAAAATTACATTCTGAAAAATTATTATATTTTCAGAGAATAATGATTTAGATTACTATAAAAATTAAATCAAACCTGCATTTAGAATGTTAACTCTTTCTATAATTAGATTTTCAAAAAACACATTGATTATATTAACTAGTTTAATGAAGTTAGGATGCTAATTTTTGAATTTTTACATATTTGAACATTCAAAATATTGATGTAAAACACTAATCTCAAATTAATTGACTTTTAAATTTAAAAATCTTAATTATTACTAATCTAAGTAAAACTCACTCAATCCATTTCCTCTTACGATATCGCAATTAACAATGTTTACAATTTGCAGCTAAATTATAAACAAGTATTCTGCCTCGTAATATTCGTCATTTATATTATTTTAATAAATTTTAACATTCCAAAGCTCTAACTTTGATTAATTAGAACTAAATGGTTGTAAATTCAAAATTTAAGTCTAATTACTTGATTTTATATTTTAGATAGTCAATACATCGATCTAATAGGAAAGATGAATGTCGGTAATTGATTATTTTGGGAAGTTATTACTAATAAATGATGATCGACCTTAGATTTAGCATTCAAATATATAAAATTCATAAATTTTTGCTTGCTTTTCTAATATTAAGAATGTTGATTCAATTAGATTCATTTACTTTATTGTGAAATTATTTATATCTGTTGATACAACATTTTTTAAAGTGATAAATGGTTTTGTCTATTCCAATGTGCCAGATGCAAAGAAATTAGTTATAGTAAAAAGCTAAACTCCCATACCAGATGTAATTAATGAACTATTAAATAGTTCAGAATCAATAATGAAATTTTTAAAATCAATTGATTAATGTATAAGAGAATTAATTTCAATTATATTTGAATTTCTTAGAATGCAATTAAGGATTGAAAAGTCTTAAATTCTAATGAAATCATTTTTGGAAGTAAACTGAAAGGCAAAAATGCTTTTCAAATTAGAGTTATCAAATTTGGTATTCTTAAGTTGAACATGATTAAATTTTAATGAGTTTAATTAATCACATTAAAAATTAAAAAAAGTGTATTCAAGTTAGAGTTTTGAGGAAATTATAATTTTCTCCAACTCTAAATCAATACTTTTAAAACCATATGCACTTAAAATTTTAGGATAAATGCTTTCTTATACCTCAATTTGTATATTTTCAAATCTTAAGAATGAAAAGTCAACAAAATTAACTTCCCTCAAAATTTGAATTATTAATGGTTACTTAATTTCTGATATGAATGTTAACTATATTTCGCTTGATATTATAATTAAAGAAATACATTGCATTAAATACGAATTTTGAGAACTTTTATGAAATATAGCTAAATTAATTAATTTAGCAAGTCTATTCTTATTGGGATTTAAGAAAAATTTTGATTTTTTTAATACTTTTTTTATTAAGAATCTCATATATGGCATTAGTCTCATACTAATTATAGAAAAACAATAAATTACATAACTGAAACTATTTTATTCAATATTGGATTAAATAAGAGTTTAAAAAGCAATATTCTTCATTTTAAATTCTGATTGTAAATTTTTATCAGTAATTGATGATAATTTGTTTTCATAATCTTATTCAGAGCAAAATAGATTTAATTCAATAGTCAATACATTCTCACATTACAAATCATCAACACAAGGGAAAAATTATCCAAAAATTGAGTCATAAAAAATCTTTTCACCATATAAAAAAGGTTTCAAACATTAATATGTAAAAATTTAATTTTAACTATTCTTAACGAAAAGAGAGTTTAGCTTGAATATTTCTTCATCAGTTCTTACTCTACATAATTCGCAAAAGCTAGGACAAATAGCACATTAGTATTAAATAATTGTCAATAAATTATGATAACCATTCTTACCACAAGTAAGACAAATGTACTAGTCATCCTAAAATATACAAGTTTCACAGTTTGAATCACAATATTTTATACATTTCCCTTTTATGAGAACATAGCCATCAAAACATGAAAAGCAAACTATTTCATAGTCTGATGGATTCTAACTTTAATCATGTTAAGCAAACTATTAAATAATTATAAAATGAATTACAAAAAAATCTGGTTATAATCTAACTTTTAGAAACTGATTGAATAAAGCAATTTTTTATTTCCATACATCATTATATCCAATACTTTATTGAAAGCAAGTCTTACAATTTAAAGATTCAGGGCATTTTTAACAATCTCCAATTAAACGATGATTAAAATATCCTTCAAAGCATTCAAGGCAATAACTAGGAGTATATTTGTATTGAACATAGCACAAATTGCAATTAGAAAAATATGCCTAACAATTCTCTTGACCTTAATAGCTCATAGCAAGGCTAGAAGCTTCACCTATTAAACATGTGTTTTTATAGTTAGAAATCATATCATCACCAGAATAGATGTGAGAGATTCCAACTAAACAATTAAATAATTAACTTTATAGACAACTTTCTACAAAAGTATAATAAGTATAAGTTGGTTCACATAATGCACAAACAGGAAGTTCATCAGATAAATCATTTGAGGGTTCAAAATTATAAGAGTAGCTGTTGTATTTAAGACTTTGAGACCTTGAAATTATCATTACATATTGACAGTTCTTTTACTCAATTATTAAACAATCTATGCCATTAAATCTTATAGCCATGATTTTATCATTTAAACATTTTAAGCATCTCAAGAAATATTATTAATTTGATTAATTATAATCTTCTTTACAATATTAACAATTCATTCCACACATTTTGCACTATCCTTAATAGGTTAAAGTATATGATCTATTATATATCAATAAATAATACTAAGCACAAGTTAAGCATCTTTAACCGAACTCAGAATTTAGATCTGTTGTACATGACAAACATTCTGAGCTACAAAGTTCACATTTTTAACTTTTTTTATTGAAATAACGAGACTCAATACATGCCAAACACACATTCTCAGATTGACAATTTACACAATATGGATCACACATTTTACAGATAAAATTATCATAAAAATGATTATTTTTACACCTAATCTTTGTATATTCATTTAAATGATGATATTAGCTAACTTCACAACCGTCTAATGAATCTACACAATAATCTGACGCTCCATCAAGAAGAAGTAAATTTAATTCCTAATCTAAATAATACACATCTCTTTAGCTATTTAATCTAGAATGTTTCTGATATGAATCTGAGCTCTTTATTTAAATATAATCAAATGTGCAAACTGGTTTTAAATACCAGAATAATGGTTAAAAATAGCAATCACCACAAAATAAATTAACAATATGATATTAAGGGCTAATTTTTAATAAATTTAAATCTATTACCATTAAATACATAAATATTGATTCTCAAAAAACACTTGGAAATATCCAAATTTGCAAATATTCTAAACTGCTTCTTAAGTTATAATAAGCCCTTTTGAATCTTCAATTTTATCACATTGATCTGTTTTTTCATTATATACAAACATATATTTGCATTCACATTGATTAAATTATGTTAAAACAAAGTTATATTCTTCAAAACAAGATGTGCAATCATAGTTCATTGGTCCGTTACAATTTTTACAGTTTTTATAACAATCTATATTATATTCAAATATACCTTGTTAGTCTTCGTTATCTCCTTGAAATCCTGATATAAATTTAATATTTTAAAATTTTACCCTGCTTATTTATGAGAAATAATCTAAAATTTAAAAGCGTATAGATATGGTATTTCCTGTAAATTAAGAATTATAGTTTTGTGTTCCTAAATTGTAAATTAAAGGTTCTTCATTATAAAAATATAATCTTAATTAAAGAGTCTCTCCATTTTAAGTTGGGGTTCTTCCATATTCTAAGATAAAGTAATGCCATTTTTAAGTTTATTCATATAGATTATCTCTGCTAATTATTAATCGATCATATTATCTCAAATTATCATCAGTATACATAGGTGTGTATATAGGAATTTTATAAAATTAGGTTTCAAAATGAATGATTGTTTTGTTAACATTTTAAAAGTCAACCTAATATTAAAAATAAACAAATACTGTATAATATAATTTTGCTAATTAACTACTTAATATTCTATCTTCATAACCTAAACAAACAGGATAATCAATTCTAAATGGTGCTTAAACAAGTTATTAGTGATCTTCCTAATAATTGGTTTTATAATAATTATAAGCCTTAAAATCAATTAACAAATACTTCTAAATAATCTTATTTAATCCACAATTTTAAAATGTATCTATTATTTACAACCATTTAATGGTAGTAGGCATAATAACTTAAAACATATGAAGAATAAAAATATTGAATATTTTGAATTTTGGTCTGAGTTTTCTATTCCTAAAATGGACATAAAGAAAATAAATTAAAAAAAAATTCATCGTAGTATGAAAAGGAATCATATTCTTAAATTGGTGAAATATATCCATTAAAAGGATAAGATATCAAATTATACTCATAATAATACTGAGGATAATTGGTACCCCCAAGTTCAATTGTTATTGAATCTGTTAAAATTTAATAGTTAAATGAACGAATATATTCTCCAACATTAGTGAATAATGTTATAGTTTAATCCTTTGTTGAGTATATGATCGATGTGTAAATCCAAATGTTCTGATATTAGCTTGGGTCAAAAGATATAGAAGCAGATTAATGAAGATTTGAACCGATAGGGAATAAATAAAAGTCATGAGTCAAACTCACTGGATTATCATTCATATTTAACATTAGTGTAGCAAATAAATTTTACTCCTAATCCACAAGTTTCATCATGGTGATTCCTTTAAATTGACAATTATCACTTTAACAATAAGAATCAAAAGAAGCTATAGCAGTCCAATACTCAAGAGAACATTTTCTATTATGAACATATTTTGACCAAAATCCAAAACCCTTTGTGTTCAATTCAAAAGAATTAGTTTTTAAATCTACATTTTTTGATTAAGGTCGATTGTCATCAATCTCCAAAGCTGAATCATCATATTCATAATAACACTTTACGATATTCTTAAATTGACATTCTGATATCAATAGTATCAGGACAACAAAAAGGAAAATCATAATTTTATATTTTTTAAAATAAGTCTCAAAATAAATTTCCATCTTAAATTCATAACTTTTTGAAAATCATTAATTTTATAACATCGAAAAAGAGCTTAATTTCAAATTCAAGAAGACTTTTTTTTAAATTTATTTCATCACTCTAGATCCATATCTAAATTCCTTTCACCTTGATTAAATTTTATTTATAAAATATTCAAAAAAATGTATTTTATCATTTCACTCGACAATTAAAATATTATAAATAAAAATACTTTTTGTAACTTTCCTCTTTCTTGATTAGGGTGATCATCTAAATTTTATAATTACAATAATATTTTTTAAAATAAGTGTTTACAAATAATAATATGATCAACTTTAAGCAATCATAATTAAATAAAAAAGAAAAATATCATTCAAAAATAATCAAACTTATTTTTTTTTATGTACTTTTATCAATTAAATTTCAATATCACTATTGAGCGTCCTTCTATTTTAAGTAAATACCTTAAAACTATAAACAGCAAAGAAATTAAATAAAGGAATACTAATTTCATTCTTAATACTTTGAAATATTTAAAACCTATAAACTTCGATTGGATATCTGATTAATAAATCAATCTAAAATATTAAAGAATTATGGAAGCAAAACAATTCAAATAAATAAACGCAAGATTTCGATTCAAAAAAATTCATTTAAACATTTAATAAGTTCATATTGATTCAGAAAAAAGCTTAAACATTTAACAAATTGAATATTATATAATTAACAGTTACTGTTTATATTATCTTGATTTATTGAAATTATATTATATAATAACAATTTAATTAAATAATATATTTTTAATTTAGATAAATATTCAATATGTATAATAAATAAGGATTTTTATCAATAAACATAAAATTATTTCTTTAGTCTAAATACATCGTATTTTCTTTGTTTAAAAAATATAATTACTGAATAATCTTAAAGTGATGCTAATTAATAAATTTGATCTTTATTAAATAATTATGAATATGAAAATATTAGTCTTTAAAAGAATTAATAATTTTGTAAACTTTAATTTATAGATATATAATTCTAGGTTTCATAGCATTAATTTTAAATATCTTAAAATAAAAATAATATATATGGTAAGTTAAACAGCAGCCAAAGGTAGCAGGCCAGTTCATCTTAAACCCAATTTTATTATAAATATATCTAGTAATCCAAAACTATGTGAGGAAAAACAAATATACAATTCCCTCACAGACAAGTCACTATTACAAAGTCAAACTTAATGGCTTCATTGAGATTGAGTCCTTTTAATTCTGTAAAATTTTTAACAATTCCTTATTTATTTTTGAATAAAATAAAACCTTTAACCCCCTTAAATGTCTTTGATTTAGTTTTTATATTTAATTTTGAGTTTTCTAATTTAAAGATTTTAAAAATAAATCATCACTTTCCATCGAACTCAAATAACTTATTTATGATATCAATTTGATTATCAAAATAAATAACTTGAGAGAAAAAAATAAAGTATTATTAATCAGTTTTTTAACAAGAATAGAAAGTGGATAAAAATATCTAAAACAGATATTTTATTTATTATTTAGTTTAGCCCACTCTGATAATAAAAGGCCAAATAAAGAATTATTTAAGAAAATAATTTATAATTGAATAATCAAAATTAGCTAAGACTTCTCAAAAGAAAATTTAAGAATCTATTTTTGAATTTATAATAAATGATTTTTAAAAAAATCAAAAAAAACTTTAAAGCAAAAATATGACATCATCCTTAATTTCTTATCTTATATAAAATAATAAACATGCATTCTTAGATGTTATTTTATGTAAATCTATCTTTTTTATTTTGGAATCATTAAATTCAATCCATTAATCTTATTTTTTTACATAAGCGGTATGATGTTGATAGGTATACTATTAATTATCAGCGATAATTTATTTTAAATTAATGACAGCATAAAGATTATATAAAACATCATTTATCTTATATAAGCAATCCCTAATATTTTAAGATTATATCTCAAAGTAAACTTAAGTTCTTATTAGCTTTGGCAAATGAATAACCAAAATAATTGGTGCTACAAATAAAAAGGTTTATTCAAACAAAGGGATTTTGCAATTTTAACAAATTTTTGTTAATTCTTAAGTGCTTTTGTATTATTTTAGATAATCCTCTAATTTGAAATCATAATCTGATTCTATTTTTAACTATTTTAGATATTTTTAAGTTTAAGTCCATACTAAAATTATCTTTGGCTTTATAGAATAATCAAAATTTAGAATAATAGGATCAACTTCACAGCCTTTACAATTAGTTTATCTGTTATTTACAATAATTGATGTCTTTTTGCAATTTAAGCATTTATTGTGAGCATCTAATATTAGAATTCTATAAGGAAATTCCGATTAGTCAAAAGATTTTTTAAGTTCTTCTTCCAATCCCCAAGTGTTATAAAGGTTTGGTTTAACTTAGAATTCATTCTAAAATTAATAAATTTTTACTATATTGATGAATCTTTATATTTATTTGTAGATATAGACCTTTAATTCCTAAAATGTAATTGATTTGATTGGAATTAAAATAATCATTGGATATAATATCTATTTATATTTATTATTTTTTGATTAATTTAAGTAATTATAAACTTCAATCTTCACCATATTCCTCTAATTTTAAACCTTTTTTCTAAATTAAGAGATATCTAGATTATTAATTCGATATTTTTAATCTGAAGAGCAATCTTTAATTTCATACTAATTTTCTTAAATATCTACTATTTACCCTTCTCTCCAAATATTATCCTTTGGTTTAAAATTTACTATATCATACAATTTAAAATCTGAAGATGGATAATTAAAGATTTAGGAAATTTCAATAAATTCTTTTTCAGCTTCATCCTAATTTCCTAATTCATAAACATATATTGTTTTCTTACTGCTAATACCTAATTTAAATAGTTCATATTAATCGTAATTATCAGGAATTCTACAAAAGGAACCTTTATTTTTATATGCAATTGTGTATTAATCTTTATTGAGATTTGTGATTTTTGTAATTTATTAATACAATTCTTTAATTTTTTGATTATTTTGGAGAACAACTCTTTATTTCTTTAAAACTATTTCTTTAGTTTATGTTTCAATAAGTTTATATTTACTAAAAAACATAAGTTATAATCTGCATTCATCATCTTTCATTTTTAAAACATTCAAATCAAAAATATTTATTTTTTCATCAAACTCTACTTCCTATGCACATTATTTACAGAATGTTTTTGTTTTTTTTGTTCCTTGAAAAAGTGTATCAATAATAGTGTTTTTCTATTTGTTTGATCCTTTTAATTCATCTGAAATATGTTCTAATAAATCTTTTAAAAATTCATTCGAATCTGCAGGTTCGCATATTTTGTATATAGGTCTCTTCTAAGAATCTAAAATTTTTTAACATACAGCTTCTCTAAATTATTCTATTGAAACACTTTATTCATTTGTATCTTTTAATTTTTTAATTAATAGTGACAATTACTCAGTTAAAATAATTTATATCGGTTAAGAATTGTTCCACTTCTCACCTGAATTTGAAGAAGTAATAAAATTTTTAAAGCTTTAATTATAAAGAAAATTACTCAAAAATGGAGTTTCTGCTAAACATTGCATCACAGCATTCATGTAGCAATGCTGTCCTTCATTCTATATACCTGGATAATTAATATCTTTTCTTGGAACATCACCACTACTGTAAGGATATTGTGGTTATATTTCTTATTTGATATTGAAGCTTATATATTTGTCTAGAATTTAAGAATTTTTTTCTAATTACATATTATTATCCTTAAAATAAGGATTATTGATCTTGATTTCTGCCTCTTAATTCTATAATAAGTGATTTAGATTTTCAAATAATTCCTAACATCTATTAAACTCAGGTTGGAGTTTAAATTAATTCAATTTTTGAGTAGCTTTGAACTTGTTGTGCTTGAGAGTTTTTTTAATTGTTTCAATTATTGGTGTTGGATTAATTTTTGACTTTAAGCCTTAGATTAATAAATCTAATTCTCCAAAAAAGCTATATTAAGTTGCAATATCAATTAACTGAGTAATCCAATCCTGAGAAAGGCAAAGTAAATAGTCAAGTTATTGAATCAAACGTGTTTTCAGAGCTTCAATAGTTTTTTTAAATTCTTCAACTTATTAAAGATGAGGCTTGATTATTAGCTCGTATTATGAAATCTTTTCTCTTTGTATTCTATCAAAGCTTTATTTAAGTTATTAAAAATTCCCAATCTAAGAATTAGTTGGCTTTTAGTGTTTACATTACTTGCATAAGAGCCTTTCATTACTTGATAATTAAGCATCAAGAATAACAAATTCGATTTGTTGTTGATGTTATTTGCATATCAAATCTTTTTCATTTTCTATTACTTTTGGTTAAAAAATTTACATTAAATTTAATTATGGAATAAAATATTTTTATTTTTCCATTTAAGATAACTTTGTAAAGAACAAGAATACGATCTATTACTTGTTTCAAAATTAATTATAGTTTTAAAATATTGTTTGAATTATTTATTAATATCATCCAAGTTTTTAAGTTTTAGCATATTTAGTAAAAACTCATGTTCTTTTTTAATTTATATATATACATTATTAAAATTTGAATTATTCAATAGTTTTTTATTATTATTGTTTTGCCAAAATTTGAAAATCTTATAAATAATTGATATTTATCTGAAAAAAATTGAAAGATATATTTTTTTATTCTAGCTTTTATACTATTTTAAGAAAAAGCCTAAAAAAATTTAAGACTCTTTCCCAACTCTATATTAGTGTGCAATAGTTATTCAACTTCTGTCAATAATAATAATAGTCTGTGTGAAAAACTAACACTTCAATGATTGATGAATCATTAATTATTTTAGATCTTAAATTGGATCAATTTTAATAATGACATAGATAGATATCATTAAAGAGAGTAAATCCTATTGTATCTCTCCATCTATAAAGTTTATTATCTAAATTTATTAAAATTTTACTTTTAACTCCTTTTGAAAGTTATATTTATGTTGGTAATTGAATAATCCACTTACTCGGATCAAAGTATTCAAACTTTCTTAATGATTTCAAGACTTTTTCTAATTACACCAGAAAACTCTTCATTATTTCAGTGTCATTCAATCATCTAATGCTGATGATAAAAACTATAAATTTATTTGTAAATCAGAAATGCATTATACTTATTGTTATCTTTTTAGATTCTTTACTCAAAAAGTTAATTTAATTAGGGGAATCTACAATAATCTCATTATTTTAAGTTAACTTTTTGTTTAATATAGAATAAATTTTCTATAACAAATGTAAAAATATATAAATACAATCGGTGTGGCTTATATTTTTAGTGTGATAAATAATATTATCCTTATATTTTAAACATCACACTTTTTAGTATGACTATGTTTTAATTTATATGCTCCATTCAAATCAAATAAAGCTTTTTTATGTAGTTTTTATAAGTGATTACCAAACTTTATTTTTATAAATTTTATACACAATTAAATCTATTAACTTTATTGTAATGATTTTCAAAAAACGATCAATAATTCTATAATTAAGTCTTTTTTTAATAACCAAATAATATGACAATAATAATCTAGAAGTTTTGACGAAAAATAGGCGGCATTTGACAATTTAGAATTGGAGAATTGATTTTCAATATTATAAAGCCCAAATTGGGTTCACTAATTTAGTGTATTCTTTTATTTACTTTTTTCTTTCTATCACTTAGTGAACTGTTATTTATTTTATTTATCAAAAGAATCTATTTAATA